CCTAATATTTTCAGTAACATCTTGGCAGGAGTCGCGCTCCTCTGGGAGAACAGGAAATTATGGACTGAAGCGAAGGCAGTATTAAAGCCAGGCTAGATGAAAATCATGCAGTTCAGAGGTTTCTCATGATTCTCCCCCTCTCTGATTCTTCAAGTCTATTCCCCCTTGATTGGCCCAATACGGAGATGCGTAATGATCAATTGCAATCCTGAGACTTTTGGGGGTAAGAAGACAGTCTTCCTCCTCAATTCAACCCAAATCAGCAGGCATTTATTTAATCCTTGTATTGGGCCAGGGCTGGGGACCCAATGAAAAAAAAATGCAAACAGGTCCTCTCCTTTAAAGAGCTTACATAATGTTGTTATCCAAAAAACAAACAAACAAATAAACAAACAAACATATACCAGCAAGTAAATGTAAAATGCACGCGACATCAATCTGAGATAACCTCAGGGTGTGTGTGGGGGATTAGAACATTAACTGGGGGGGTAGCATGATGGCAAAATGCATATAGTGCCGGCAGGTAGGTGATATGGCGGATATTGCAATAGTCCTGGAATCAAAAAACCTGAGTTCAAATTCTGCCTCAGACAATTAACTAGCTGTAAAGTTAGGACAAGTTATTTAGTTTCTAAGCCTCAGTTTTCTCAGTTATGAAAATGGTGATGAATGAGATTATATCTGTAAAATGCTTTCCCAAAGTTAAGACACCACATGAGTGCTATATTCATCATCATATCATCATTATTGTTATGGTTATTATTTAATTTTGTAGTTTTAGGGCCACTAGGCCGCACAGTGGGCTGCTAGACTTAGAGTCAAGAAGAATGGAGTTTGAAGCCTCTTTAGGACATCTACTAGCTGTGTGACCCTATCTGGGCAATTCACTTGACATCTCTTAGCTTTAGTTTCCTATTTTGTAAAATGAAAATAATAACAGCACTGACCTCTTGGGATAGTTGTATGGACCAAATAAAATAATCTGTGTGGAGCATTTTGCAACTGTTAAAATGCTAGCTATAATTTAGGACAGCTAGGTGGTATAATAGATAGAATGCAGGGGTTGGAGTCAGGAAGACTTCTCTTCCTGAGTTCAAAATGGCCCTTAGACACTTACTAGCTGTGTGACCCTGGGCAAGTCATTTAATCCTGTCTACCTCAATTTCCTCATCTGTAAAATGAGCTGGAGAAGGAGATGGCAAACCAATCCAGTGTCTTTGCCAAGAAAACCCCAAAGGGGGTCGCAAAGAGTCTGAATGACAACAATAATTTAGAGGTGGAAGGAGCTGAAGAGAACATTGTCATTATCTTTATTTTATACAAGAAAAGGAAGCTTGTAGTGGAGTGATTGGCCTAAGATTTTGTAGATAGATAGATAGATAGATAGATAGATAGATAGATAGATAGATAGACAGATATAGATAGACAGATAGATATACATACATATATACACATATACATATTTATAGATACATATATGTATCTATATATATGTATACGTATATATATACGTGTGTGTGTGTGTGTGTGTGTGTGTGTGTGTGTGTGTATAATCATCTAGTGGGGCCTGCTTAAGAAAGGTGTACTTCAGAGATTAGGCATGTAGTCAGTGAGGTGACTTGGCTACCTCCAGAGAGAATCCAAGGAGGGTGAGGTGGCAGACTACTTTGGCATATTTGGTGGAGAGAAAGTATCTGGAGATGTATAAAAGGTAAGGCACATCTCTCAAAGATTGTGATATTCATTAATGGGGAAAGGAGAAAGGAGAGGTGATAAATATTTAGCTTTACCTCTCGTTGGAATATAAACTCCTTGGGAATAGATTATTTCATTTTTTTGTATGTGTATCCTTAGCACCTGTCATAGTTCCTGATGTATAGTAAGTTCTTTATAAATAATTGTTGCTTTATTAGTAATAACATAACTCAGACCACTGTCCAGCACTTTCTATGAAAACTACCTGTCCAGTTGTCCTTTAGTGTTTAAAAGAGAAACTGACACCCTTGTAACTCACACAAAACAGAAGGGAAAACTTTCATAAAACCAGAAATGAGATCATGCACACACAGTGTTGGAACTGCATGTATGAAAAAAGCATTCTGTGGTCATAACCTCCCACTGCACAACTGTACCACAAACTGTTCTTAACTCATAGAGCTTAAAGATGGCCGTGTCCCATGTGTTTGTAAAATATAAGCAATCCTTACTTGGTATCTATATGAAAGATTGACAAAAAAATAATTAACAACTTAAACTACGAGTGTATGTGGATGCTTTTCCTGTGGATGACCTTAGGGGAGGTTTTATCGTCATGGAAGAAAGGCTGGGACTCTGTTCTTGGTGTCAAGGAAAGGCTTTTGGGGGAGTATCAGCCTTCTGAAAACAGGGAGTGTGTTGGTCATCTACATTTGGGATAAAAGTGCTACCAGGGCCATGATTTACTAGAAAATGTCTCCCCCAAGGTCAAATCAATTCATTGACATCCTCGGCCAAATATTTTCCCCATTAGAGACATTGCTTGGGTATTATAACCGAAATGAGAATCCTGACCTCAGTGGGACTATATGAAAAGTAATTATGCACCATTTTATTGGAAGAGGAGTCCTGCTTGTGTTAACATTTGTCTTCTTTGAGCCTTTCTTTTTATCACTTCATCAATGATTATTTTGTTAAACAGTCAATTACTAACTTAAACAAAAAAAATCTGAAGGCACTTGGGAGGTGCAGCTCTCATAGGGCTCCATGGTACCAGCACAGAGAATCCCAGTGGCTGAGGAGGGCAGTTGCCTGTTGATGAAGGAATGAGGCCGTGGACTTGAAGATAGAAAAAGGAAGCAGAGGCTTTGTCCTCTTGTTCCAAATTCAATTCAGACATGAACATCAAGGGAGTAAATGCTAGCTTGGCTGATTTTTGTGCAAATACAGTAAAATGTCCATATTTTAGACTTTGTTGCCTCAAAATTTCTCACAATTCACACAGTTTCTGGCCTGGGTTGGTCCTTTCTATTTACAGAGAGAATTGGCTGAGCAAATTGTAAGAAAGTGTTTTTTGATTTATTTAAGAAAACTGTTAACAAGACTTCAAACCACATTAGAAGCTCACGGTATAATCTGTGTGCTGATTACACGTAATGCCTACATATGCATTTAATCTGGAATCAATGTGACCTCTATTTTGGAGCTCTTTTAATGTTAGCTCTTAGATAGTTATTATGCCAATATGAATAGTTTTGCCCTAAAAATACATATATAATGAATACTTTTCCATTGAAATAAGCACTGCAGAATAGGAGTATCCCTCATACTTATATGACCAGTATCTAGCAAGGCTGCTTAATAACCTGTTGTTGATTAAATTCATTGACTTCTATAATTTGGACTTGATCTGAACTATTCAGAACTCACTAGGCGCATGCTAGCTAGAATCAAATGCGACATTTCTCTGATGATGATTTCATTTTGCAAGAGATGGAAAAAGGAAAGTAGCCAGAAGGAGGTTCAAAGGGGGTTTATTTTAGAGTGAGGGGGAATCATTCTGACTCCTTAATTCTCCCCTGCTAACCCATGGAATTTTCTGTTCATATGATTCACTAACAACCAATCCTCTGATATTACTTGAGAATTCAAAGAACGAAGTCACTCTTCTAAAGCTTTCTTTTAGCTGGTCAGGTTATCAAAATATCATTGTATTTTCCAAAGATTGCAGTGGTTAGCATAAAAGGTAAGGAGAAGGATGCACAGGTAATGTTACCCCTCTAAGAAACAATGAGTTTCTTTCATATAAACAAGTTTGCCTCACTTAGCCTTTGGGCCAATGGCAGGACGGAATCTATAATGTTGGAGGCAGGGGAGATGGTGCTCTGCTTTTGTCAAAGTTTTGCTCATTCCTTCCTCTCTAGCCAGAATCCACATTGCTAGTCAATCATAGATGGTGGTTTAAGGTACTGAACAAAAGTTAACCAATACATTGTTACGATTCTTTATAATTTTAAAGGTTTCTATGTTGGGGTCTTGTAGTCTGCCCCATATGTTCTTCCCTCACCCAAAGTGACAGACTTCCATTTTTATGGTAAAGAATCCTGTTTTTCCATTTTTTAGCAATGCTGATACCTACACAATTGCAATAACCCAAGAGACAGAAAAAAAAGAGATGGAAAAGGGAGAATACGATGATCATCACGGTTTAGTTTTCTTTCTAATGTTGAAGAATATATAAAATGCCAATCAGTAAAACCAGAAGCAACAATGCAAAATAATAATAATAATAATAATAACAATAACAGCAATAATAATAATACAACAACAAATGGTATAACATCCTTTATCAGATATTAAATTGTGAAACATTTGTTATTTAAAGAATGGCAGTATCTTGATACCTCAGTGACTAATCAAGTAGAGACATCTGGAAATACTCTACTCTTTATTATATGGGGAACAGAACTATACTTTAAGCTTTGAATTTCAAAATGTTCATTTGTGTCAGAATCCTTTTTTGTGTGTGTTTACTTTTTCTTTGTTTTCAGTCTCCTCATGTTAGAATTCCTCTATTACACTAGGAAAGGTAGCAAACTGAATCTCTGGCAGACACCTTCCTACAGCAAAGCTACTCAGAAAATCTGGAGAATAATGGGAAAAATATCACCTAGTCCTCCAGTTTATTGCATAAGCTACTAGGGCAACTAAGGAATGAATTCATTACTCTTAATTATGAGGCACCTTTTAGGCCCAAATCAGCTCACAGTTCAATTGGCCATCACTGAGGCCTAAGATTTCTTCATTAGGAATACCATTAACAATTGGATTATGGTGGAAGATTGTAACCAGATATTAAAACTCTTGATCAACACAAGGAAACAAGACCAAAGTCTCTTGCCACCCAATGTTGCCAATGGTAAAATGGGCTTGGAAAGACTTGTCCACACACCCCTGAGACCCCCTCCCTGCCTCTGTGACTAGTGTTAGCAATGAGAGAAAGATTAGAAAGTGAAGTTACTCACCATGGAAGAATCACTGCTTCCACTCCCGAGCAGAGCTCCCTCAGCACAGGTTGGTAGGTGGGTAGAAAGTTGACTAGCCCTGCCCCCATCTATGACATCACAATCTACCTCATAAAAGGTAGTGAAATTGTTCTGAACTCCTGTCTGATTTCCGAGAGATACAGAAAAGAGAGAGTGAGAGAGAGAGCAAGAGAAAAACGATACCCTAGTTTGGGAGAGGGAGAGGGAGGGGAGGGGAAGGGTGGAAGGGGGCAGGAAGAGGGTGGGAAAGGGAAGAACTAGAGGGAGGAATTTTGTTATGAAAGAGTTAAGTTCAGTAAGAGACACAGGGGCTTTTTATGTAAAGATATCCTGTGATTTGAACTCCACCTGCCGACTGTCATTGAGCCTCGATATCCACCATCTGGAAGGAGGATGAAGAAGCATTGTGCCTTGTAAGGCACACCAAGGCGTAGGTGGTGGAGTACTGGGTGGAAGGTACTTATTAACGTTTTGAAGATCACCAAGAAAGAAAGCATGGGCCACAGCTCTTAAAGCCTGGAACGAGAAGCTGGGGATTTTAGATGCTGTTCTTAGAAGTTCCACTGCCCTGCTGTGTGACCTTCAACAACTTGTCCAGCCTCTTCATGCCCAACTATGAAATGGGGCCAAAAGGATACTCACCTCGTTCATAGAAATCAATGATGTTTTAATTCATTCACTGTTGCTAGTGTAACTTTTAGTTACTCTTCTTTTATTTTTTAAGATGCTCTGTTAGCTTGTGTGAAGGGCATCGGATTTTAAAAATCAATAATGCCCATAAGGCATTTTAAGATAGTTCTTCCAAAAGTGCTATTCACTGCAAAATAATACTGACAATGTTGTCAAAGCTTTAGTATGAGTCTGTGTGTGTGTGTGTATGTGTTTGTATTGTGAAAAATGGGTTAGTCTTAGTGTAGAGTTCTCCCTTAGTCTAAGCACAGTTTAAGTCTGAATAAGCTAATTAAATGAGTTTAAGTTGAATAATATTACTAAAACTTATATAGCAACAGGAATTTGGGTCACCCTCTGTATTTGCAAGAAAATATAGATAGAGCTATATACCAAACAGTTGAAAAATTAGATACGATGGCAAGATGTATTGTTACTGTGTGTGTGTGTGTGTGTGTGTGTGTGTGTGTGTGTGTGTGTGTGTGTGTAGGGGAAGGGGTAATCTAATGAGTCCTAAGGAATCACAGTGACCATTTTGCCTCTTGTCTGAACTGAGTGGGCAGTAATCACATCGACAAAGCCCTCATACAAATTCATGCCCAATCCTTAAGTGAAATCAGACAGAATGGCAGAGGACTATGATACAATCTGGGGCAGAGCACTATAGAGAGTCAAACAGACACTTAACTGGCAACACACTTTGGTAAAAAAAAAAAAATGAACCCTTTGAAGGTTTCCAAAAGTGTGCAATGTCCAAGGCTCATACACCAGGAAATGAAGGGCAACCATACATCCACAGTGGAACCCTTCATAAGCTCCTCATTGAAATAATATTTCACTATGAGTAGAGAGCTCCAATTATGATTAGCACAACAGGACAATGAGTGAAGGATGGCTAGGGGCTTTATTCTTATGAGCATCTGTCATGTTGTTCAGAATGGACAGCTCTCTGAATTCAGAGCTCTCCCTTTAGCCGAAAGATAGCATACATTCTTATGACCAGGTGCTACCAACTCCAATTCATTAATTACATAGATTTTTTTTTAATATATGAAAATATAGATGAGGGGATAACTCATTTCAGAATATGTAAAAGCACTAAATTCCAAACACCTTCTGATTTAGCAACATTGCCCTCATATCTTGGTTAAATAAAAGAGAGTGTTTGGGCTATTTGCAGAGTGGCTGATAAACGAGACAGTCATTTGTCTTAGGTAAATAAAATGTCTCCCGGCTAGAATGTTTACTTTTATTTATGTGACCCTTCGTTGTGTGCCAAAAAATTTTTTTCTGTGCTGGGCATTCCCACAGGATGTGCCAGGATGTGTCAGGATGTTTTAAATCTCCACCCAACCCACCAATTTAACTTCCAATTTAAAAAGGTTTTGAGAATGTCTTTAAAAAAAAAGCTTGTCCACTTTAAGTAATAGCATGGATGTATCACCCAGCTAAGATGGGTTTCAAGATTTGTTTGCTCTTTCCTAACAACAACCTAGTTTAATTGCTGAACAATGACATCAAGACCCCAGTGCAAAACTAGGTAGCGATACCTAGTGGTGAACTGTGCTGGATTTTTGGGTGGAGTGTTGAATTAGTTATGATTGAGTGTGAAATTTGCAATGATGCCTTTAGTTGTGTTAGAAACCACTGAGCCAAACTTCTTTTCTTCCCCCTGCAATGTTATGACAGAATCAGATTTTATCTGTTTCTTTTTATGAGCTAGTATCCCAAAGCTGTCGAGCTATGGGCTAGTCTGGATCAAGATTTCTAAATGTCATTTCTAAATGCCCTGTTTCTATCAGTGAGGGAGTGTTCAATGGTCTTGAATGAAGAAATATAACTCCTTCTGAAGCTATGAATTACAAGACTATGGAGACTCCAAGTATTCAGTGAAAATATTGCATTTTGATGCTCACCAACTGAACATCACTTTTGGATTTCGTTTTGTTTTGTTCTCTAAATAGGAAACAAGACTTGGGGGAGGGAGAGTCAAGACAAAGAACTTAGCCGGGCTTGTGATCAAAAGTGAGATGGCACCATTTCTGTAATATGATTTTTGTGTGTTCCAAAAGAACCTTTTACAGATATATTTAAAGACTGGCTAATTATGCACATGATAATTGGGATGGTCCTTTCTGAGTGCAGCCTATTTGGTTATAGTCGTCATTCATTGGCCAAAAGAGTTGCAGTTGAATAGCAAAGCCAATACTGATTGGTTTTGATAAGAGCAGATTTTAAAGTGCAAGCTTCCCAGTGGGGAGGGATGGTGTTAGTCTCTTTATGCAGGAACTCACATTTTGGCAAAAGCTAAAGATGGGAAAAGCCAATTAATGGTCTTCAGTGATGATGCTGGGTAGAAATTCTCTGAGATCCTCTAGCCCACTCTTTCCCCATTCATCCAACTGCATTGTAAATTCAAAGGAGAAAGGTTTATACTATTTGGTATTGATGAGACAGATGTTAGATTCCTGTTCATAGTTTGGGGCAAGACATCAACAGAAATAAGACTGCTTAGAGAACAGATGTAAAATGAAATGCTGGAAATATTTATGAAATGGGAAAAATGAAAAAAACTGAAGAATTCTTTGGCTTCAAGAAGTTGGGATAGAGATGAAAACATGTGAAATTTGTACTTTCAGGCCACCAAAGAAGGGATGGTTCAATGCAGACTCAGACAATGCAGTTTGAGAGAATGCAAACACAGAATCAAAGAATTTCTAGGTTGCAAAGGGACTTCAATGACCATCTAGATTATACATCAAGAAACATGTTCCATTTGCTAGGTCCATATAAATGAGAATGGTGCCTTTTCTGATGACTGGGATAAAAAAATCAGAGCATATGAATCATTTAAATCAGACTGGAAAGAATACTTCAAAATAGCCTATAGGGTCCAAGAAACCAAGGAAACTTTAAACACAAAGAGATATCCATCAGCAGACATATGGCTGTCCTAGGCAAAGATTACTTTGAAACAGAAATAACACAGAATATACACTTTGAGTGAGGCATATGAAACAGAAAAAAAAAATCTATTTTTCTTTTACTTAGAAAGAACTTGGGGAATGATATAATTCGAAATATATTTGTCATGTGACAATATAAGTGAAGTGAATCAGACAATCTCCCAGCCAAAAGACTAAATACCATTCCATGGAAGCTGCTGATTACTGGCTGTGCTTTGGGAATACAAAGCTGGAATAAGTTGTTCAAAACCCCAGATATTACTCTCCCTGCAGTAGCAGTGATCTCTTGCTTATGAAAAGGCTGAAGTCAAAGGATGAGCAAATCCAGAAGTGAACACAAAATCCCAGCTCAGAAGCACTACTGGTACATTGAAATTCCCTTTATTCTCAAGTGAGCCACCAAAAATGAAAAGCAGCCATAAATGATAAACAAGACCCACAATCTATTCAGCCAATAAGTTTAACAGCTCCCTTTTCCAAATTGATGAAATTATATGAAATGGAGAGCTTTCAGGTTGATTTCTATTATGAGTTGAGGCTGCAATCCACAAATGAATACTGGAGTTGGAGAGGCAAGAAGGGAAACTTAGATAATTCATATTTAAATAACCAACTACAGAATCTCCCAGAACTGATTGCAGCACACACATCGCTGGTTTAGGAAATGAGAAAGGGAAAGGAGAACTGACTGATCTCACAATTAAAAAATAAGAAAAATTTTAAATGAATAGTATTGTTTTTATCAGTAACTCCCCTGTTGTGCAAAAAAAAAAAAGAATAAATAGAGTCACATTTGGATTTGTTCACCTTTACACATAATACTGCTTAAAAATAAGACAAATCTCCCAACATTTTTCAATGGACCACCTACCTATAAAATGTTCTATTGGGTAAAACATTTAGGAAGAAAGCTGCAAGTTGTTAATATACAGATATTACACTGGAATGTTAATGTCTTTTCTAACATTATGTAAAGTACTTTGTAATGCATAAAATGCTATATAAAATCACATAAATGTATGCTACTATTCTTCATATTAATTCTTGTTATTATTATTATCATTATCTGTGTGCACCTCTTCATTCACACTGAAGCAACCAAGATTATTGTAAAAGATGTCAAGTGGTTTCCCCATCTAAACTAACAAACTTCCCCTATTTATCACACCACTGTCAAATTTATATTCCCAAATCTAATCTATCTGTTACTCCCCTTCTCAAGAAAGTACAGTGGTTCTCAATGCTTTATGAGATAAAAAAAAAAAAAACTAACTCCTCTCTTTGGCATTTAAAGCCCTTTATAATCTATTCCTTTACAAGCTGGCTCTAGAATACCCTTCCTGATTATATTCAACATTACTCATATTAACACATTCTATACTCCACCAAAATTATACAACACTACATCTTCTATCTCTGAATTTTCACAGTACATATTTTGTGTCTGGATTCTTATTCCTTCTCACCTCTGCATCAGAGTAATGCTAA